GTGTCTCTCTCTGGTCAAATTAAAAATAAATAAAAAAATAATGAGTAGATAAATAAGTGATTTAAAATTAAAAAAAAAAAAAGAGAGAGAAGAAAGATAAAACCCCCTCCCCCAATAAGGCCCTCATACAGTGACCTGCCCCCAACTCAGCCAGTCTGGATTGTAGGCACTTGCTTGCCCATTACATACAGGAAGACCTGGGGCATGAACCTGTGACCTTCCCATGTGGGTGCAGTTGTGCTTCTGCTGTGCCACTGCCTGGGCCTAAACTGTCGGATTTTTTTGTTTTTGTTTTTAAGAGATTTTTTGCTATAGGGCACATATACTCACCAGAGAGACAGAGAGAGACAGAGACAAAAGAAAGAACTCACCCTGGGAGCGGCGGGCAAGGGGGGTGGCCATGCCGCAATCCCTTCTCCTCCATTCTCTTCTTCAGCTTCTCAGCACACACACACGCACACACACCTGGCATGAGTTTAAAGCCACCAGGCCCAGGATTCAAACTGTGGTTGGCCATGTGGAACACCTTAACCGTTGCTCCACCTGCTGGTGCCGTTGTTCTTTAAGGACCCTTTGCCAGTGAGAGCTACTGGGATTAGGTGACACTCAGGTGACACTTTGTTCGGCATTTCACTCTGGGAAGGCATGGTTTATTACCTTTTTATTTTGCCTGATGCCTCGTATTCTCCCTCTGCATTTTCTTGGGCAAGTGTTTTCAAACTACCCATGTCATAGTCCGTTGGTGTAAACCCAGCCTGCCGGAGTCAGAGAGGCAGGAGTGCCTCTAGCGGACTGGCGGCTCTGACGTGTCTAAGGTGGCAGTCCTCAGCCTGGAAGTCTGTGTAGTGTGTGCTCTCTGCAGTCTGCTGCAGAGAGAGCCCTTCTCCCTGGCCCTCCGAGCCCCAGGCCAGCAGTCTTCCTCCCCATTGTTCTCCAGCCCCACACCTCTGAGCCTTCCTGAACAGAGAAAAGGCTGGGCTGGATTGAGAATCCCCACCCTAGAAAGAAAGGGTAGTGGATGGAAAAGGAAGGACAGTTTTCGTGAACAGCATCGTTAAGGATCTTTAAAGTGGCAAGAATCACACAGACAGAGATGTGTCCAAGACGGGAGTCATGCTCCCTGGAGCTCCATCTCCTTTGTCTCTCCAAGGGCGGTAGCCTGGGTTAATTGGGCCTGTGTTGGGGAGGTCGTTGGTAGGGGTCATGGTGAGTTGGAGGGGCAAGAAGTTATGGCCGAGGATGTACAATGATCAGTGGGTGGGGGCTCCTTGCCCCCCAAGATATTGAAGGGGCTACCTGAGGCCCAGCTCAGAGGACTGAAGTTTGTGAGGCCCCAGCCATGAGGCCTCTCTCTGCACTAGGGTTGGCCAATCTCACCCTTGAGAGGCCTCTGCCTAAAATGCCCTTCTCCTTTTCAGCTCTCTCTGCCCCAATCCAATGCTTAGGATACAGGATCATTCTCCAGCTTCCTCCCGGCCACGTCTAACTTTATTCAAAGAACCTTTGTTGAAAGCAGATCTGATAATCGAGCTATTGCTCCGTGTGGACATTTGAGCAGCTGGCATATGTAGACAGTAGCAGTAGGAGAGAAATCTCTCCCTTTGGGCCATTCCTCAAGGTCAAAAAAGGGCAGTCATATAATCTGTCATCTAAACTGGGATGCTTTTGTCTAGAACAAATGCTAAGTCAGATGGGATGTGAGGACATAATATGTAAATGGAGACTGTGGTCATCCTAGGCCAAAGACATCTTGTCTTCATTATTCAGACTATTAAAAAAATTATGTGATTTTTTTTTTTTTCAGAACAGCTTTTTTAAAAATACTAAACAACAGCAACCTCCCCTCCCCCCCAAGACACCTCCAAATAAAAACAAACCAAAAAGAATTGACACTTTAAAATATTAGGCCATGTGTGAAAGGCCACTAAAACATCAGAAGAGGAGCTGGCTCATAGCCTCGTGGTGAAGGGAGCCAGATCCCGAATTGTTGACGGTGGTTTGAATCCTGTCCCTGGTAGCTGGAAAAACACTCCAGGTGTATGTCTGCGGATCTCGACAGGATGGAGTGGGGATCATGGTGAGACCACACCCCATTGAGAGGTGCACTCACACCCTCTCTCTTTGACAAGCACGGGCACTCTCTGGCAGTTAACTGAGTAGAGAAGTGAAACCCTGTTCAAAGCAAGGATCTGTAGGGTTCCCCAGCACCTCATGTTTGCCCTGTCCCTTTGCTCCTATCGTCCCTTACCCTCCCTAACCTCAGCCAGATCTGAGTGACTCCTTTTATGACTCATCCTTGAGTGCTCAGCCATCTCCAGCCTCATCTCCTCCATCACCCAGCCTCCCAGCCCCCAGCCCCA